AGATATATAACATATAATTTAAAAAATAATAACAGAAGAATAATCCTCGGAAACAGTAAAAGTTGTCAGGTATGATATACCATACAATTTAAAAATAATGGTGGAAGAATCATTCTCGGATACAGTAAAAGTTTTCAGGTATGATATGCCATATAATTTAAAAAATAATGGAAAAATCAACCTCGGAAACAGGAAAAATTTTCAGGTCTGATATAACAAATAATTTTTAAAAAAATAACTGTAAAATCTTCATCGGAAACAGTAAAAGTTTTCAGGTATGATATAACAAATAATTTTTAAAAAAAATAACGGAAAAATCATCTTTGGAAACAGTAAAACCTTTCAGGTATGATATAACATATAATTTAAAAAATAATAAAAAAAATCATCCTCGGAAACAGTAAAAGTTTCCAGGTATGATATAACATGTAATTTAAAAAATAATGAAAAAATCCTCCTCTGAAACAATAAAAGTACTCAGGAATGATATAACGAATAATTATAAAAAAATGATGGAAAAATCGGCCTCGGAAACAGAAAACGTTTTTAGGTATGATATAACATATAATTTAAGAAGTAATGGAAAAATCAACGTCGGAAACTGTAAAAGTTTTCAGGCATGATATAATAAATTATTAAAAAAAAATAATGGAAAAATCATCCTCGGAAACAGTAAAAGTTTTCATGTATGATATAACATGTAATTTAAAAAATAATGAAAAAATCCTCCTCTGAAACAATAAAAGTTCTCAGGTATGATATAGCGAATAATTATAAAAAAATAATGGAAAAATCGGCCTCGGAAGCAGTAAAAGTTTTTAGGTATGATATAACAAATAATTTAAGAAGTAATGGAAAAATCATCCTCGGAAACAGTAAAAGTGTTCAGGTATGATATAACATATAATTTAAAAAATAATGGAAAAATCATCCTCGGAAACAGTAAAAGTTTTTAGGTATGATATACCATATAATTTAAAAAATAATGGTGGAACAATCATCCTGGGAAACAGTAAAAGTTTTCAGGTATGATGCAACAAATAATTAAAAAAAATAAAGGAGAAATCAGCCTCGGAAACAGTAAAAGGTTTTAGGTATGATATGACATGTAATTTAAGAAATAATAGAAAAATCTTCCTCGGAAACAGTAAAAGTTTTTAGGTATGATATAACATATAATTTTAAAAAAAATAATGGAAAAATCCTCTTCGGAAATAGTTAAAAATTAATAAGTGTGATATACTATGCAACTAAGAAAATAACCGAAAAATTGTGTACGAAAACAGTAATATTTAACAGGTATAATATACGGTATAATTTTATTTTTAAAAATATTGTGGTACTTACCTACTGATGTAGGCCTCCTCTGCAGACTATTTATCCCGCTTCGGTGTTCTTGATTCGGCCCTCGGTCTTCCAGCCGATAAACAATCGCCAGTCAATCTTAACAGAGAAGGCATGATGATATCTTTAGATCAAACTTCTGCGGCAAATAAGGGGGAAACCATCGGGCCGGGGTAGGGTGACACAGGGCTGAGTATTCCTCCTCACTCACTTTACTACAGTCATTTCCATACACACAAAATAAACAAATCACAAATCACGGAGATAAAACGTAAAAAATCAAGGAAATTGTGCGTCTAGTAAAGTTTGTCAAGACCCCCCTGTTCACCCACCCCGTTCCGCTCGCTCCTTTGGGGGTAAAGTAAAGGGGGAAAGCGATATTGTTGTTTTCCTGGTGTCCGGGGTAAAACGGGAGAGGGCTACGTTTTCCAGCAGCAGCCCAGTCTTTGATGGTGCGCTGCGGACGCTGACGTCATGGAAATCTTCAAAGCGCTTGCGTGGAATTCGGAAAAATACCTTTTAGTTGTTTTCGTTATTATTATTTCAAACAAACAAAAACAATTTCTGTATTAGAGTTTAAAACTGTTTGATTAATAGTTCGTAAATTTCAACTGAAGTATCAGGCAGATGATGTAGGCATTTCCAGTGCATTGAGTAGTCTTAATACTTTTGTGCTAAGGAACTTATTAATCCATATGTTTGTTCACTTTTTCAAATGTTCTTTGCTGAGAAAACAATTTAAAAACCAGTTTTTGTTTTGTTTACAAAACAGAAAGCAGTTGATAATTATAGTTTGATAAACACGTTTCATTTTCTGTTTGTTTATATAAGTATGACATGCATCGTGTAGTTTTTTCATATATAGTTATTCTTCATAGAGCTATATGTAAATATTATCTTTAATCTAAGCAACAGCTTAAAAAGTGCGATATAAGTTAACTATTTTTGCTGAGGAAGTGTAGTTAACAGCTCTTTACTAACTTTTTTCTCCAAATTCAGTCATAAGCGAGATGTTATTCATTATACATGGCTAATAATTATTATTGAAATTATTCACCTATTTCTATTACTTACACACAATATAAATACACACTTTAATCTTTGTCTTCAACAGTTCCATTTATGTACAGTATTAATATTGTTAGTTATTAGTTAAAAATCAATGACTATCAAATTTACAAATAAACTTTAATATGACAGTTTATTTAGAAATAATTTTTAAGCAAAATTTATTAACCTGTTTCAATATTAAATATCCATTTGAAAAATAAAGAGACATTTTATAATAAAATCTTAATTTGCTCAGAATATTTTTTATCAAACTGATATGTAGTAAAGCGATTTAAAGCTGAATAGAAATTTAATATATTTATAATATATAATTAGTCTAGTGTTAGTTATATATAAACTATTTGTATTAAGAAATTGCTAAGTTTAGAAAGCTCCTGTTAATAATGAAATAACCTATAGCCATAGTTTCAAATTTTCTATTATTTTAAATTAAAATTCCTATTTATATTATTAAATGCTTTAGAAACAAAAATTTATTAAATAGTTTGTCTGTTTAGAAAAACTAAGGCTATTTTAAACAATGAAATTTCAAAATGCAAACCTTAATTTAACTGTATTTGGCATCTTTACTTATTAATATCTAAAGAACTAGTAAAACTAATTCCCGTAAAACTAATTCCCATAAAATAAAGAAAATTTGAAAATTTAAATCACACTTGCTTTTAAAACTTTACTTATATTGCTTATTATTTTAATTCTTCAATTTATTAATCATAATTTTAATGAAAACGAGCATCAATTTTCCTAATTATCTTAAATAGCATCAATTTTCTTCCACTTTTAATTGTTTAAAAAATTATACTTTCCAAATGCATTTATTAAGAGAAACTAAATTTAGATTTTCTACAATTTGAAAATTTTAACTTAAAATTTTCTTTGAAGAATTTTCGATGTAGTTTCTAAGACAGATCAAATATTTCATTTTTAAGTTGTTCTAAGTATTGAAAAATGGAAATAAAATTTTAAATTCGAAAGGCTTTTGACCCTTATTTAAATATTTTCTAAGCCTATATACCCCTTTATATACACTTCACATAAACTCTTAAGCACCGTTTGGAAATATCATAAAAAATATTCCATTCTCGAATTCTCACAAATCACATCTTCAGCACATTCTCTTTACACATAAACGATATCAACAATAAAACTTTAGAGAAAAAAAATCATCAACTCTCGCTTTCTTTCATTTTAAAACTGATATAACTATTTAAATATGAACATCAGATATGTTCAATACTACAAACATAAGTAAACAAGGAAAAGTACACAAGACAAGATAGTTTCATGTTAACAAACAAGAGGATGCTGGAGGACACTGAACTCTTAGAAAATAACGCCGGATTTGCTCATCAGGCGGCGCTGCTGCGAAATTGCTATTTCTTCCTTGAAAGATGCTTCTCTTCCTGTTGGATGAGTGGAATATTCCGAAGTTTTCTAATCGATAGGCTGGCAGCATTAGAGACAGAAGCAGTGGACTCTGCTGTAGGTGGAGAGGGAAAGGTTAGCACTCAAACTCACGATTGATTGGATAACCACCTGGAGTAAGAGAGATAGAGAGAGAATAAAAATGTAGGTGGGCAATGACTTCCCTCAAACTTGGCATCGATTTTGGCGAAGTTTTTGCACCCTTAATCAAATTTTAATTTCACAAAAAAGGAAGAATGTGCCGTGCTTGACCTTGTTTAGGATGACTAAACGTTAAAATTAGCAAAGTTGACGTGGGACTTAAAATTGTTTCAAATGGTGATGAAAATGGGGCAAATGTTGATATTTTAATGTCTCTTAAATTACTAGCAAATAATGTTTTGCAGAGAAAACATATCTAATGAAAATTCTAAGTTGGCAAAAATCTAAATGATCAGGTCTTAAACTAACAAAGGAAAAATCTAGCCGTTATTAAAATTTTTTAATGTGGCAGGAAATTAACCTGTAAATGTATATATCAAATGTGCTACTTAGTTATGTCGGATAGTTTCGTTAAAAGTTTAACGATGCAGGCCTGCCAACTTTCTACGCTTTTTGGAAAAATTTCTTCTCGTGGTAGTTAAGTTTATGCTTTAATATATTATTCTTTCTTTCATAAATTTTATTTAAATTTATTTTTCACGCCACTATTTGTAAATGATTCGAGAGCTTATATCAAAAGTCCTTTTCATTCCTTCGTGAAGCTTTTGAAATGCTGGCAAAATTGCCAAAAATTCTGTAGCTTTAATTTTTAATTGTCTACCACTGAATAATATATTTCACAATAAGCGTAGAAGTTGGCAGCTCTGATTCTGTATACTCACGCTGTTTTGTGCCATGCATGCTGTGTCTCTTTAAGCTAGAACATTACCATTGCGGTAAAGGATAAATACCCTACCACTTTCTTTGATTAAAGAATTTTTTACATCACTATCACTAGGAGGCGTGTACTTTCACGAACAGAGTTTTTCGAGGCATCTAATATATCATTTTTTTAATTAATTTGCAAAATATGTCTCTTTCTTTTGTTTTCTACCACACTTTGGATTTTTAAAGAATTATTGTTGTTGTTGTTGTTGTCGTAGGGTGAGAATGTTCCTGTTTTCTAGTGGCGCCATCTCTGATTCAAGAATTCGAATTATGCCGCACGCATGCGTCACACCCGTTCATAGGGTGAACTCATTCATACATTCACTCATTCATCCACAGATAGTAATTTTGACCTGAACCAGAGAACTATCAATCTCCAATTCAGTACCCACAGAAGCATAATTTGTAATGGGAACATGGAGGACTTTGTGACCAGACGGATTTAACCAGCACTAGTAATATTTACTACTCGGAGAGTCTTTAGTCGGCTGGTTTCGAACTCCTATTATCACGAACGAGAGTCCAGCACCCTGCCAATCAGGCAATCCCGGCAACTATCCATTTCTTTAATTAATTAAAAAGCATGTCTCTTTTATTGTTTGCTACCACACTTTAGATTTTTAAGGACTGTTCAAACCTTATTATAGGATAGTTTCTTTTTCCAAAAACATATGTTGTTGTGGGACAATTGTTTCAGTATTATCATTTGTAATGGAGAATCGAAAAATTCGTCCCATAATTCTTTAATAATTTAAGTTTCGTTCTGGAACTTATGCCATTGTTTTACCATGAAGTCTCATTTTTTATAATTTTTATTTAAAAAGTCGGAATAAAACGGGTTGAAATATTAAAATAAAACTACCTAGAAAATCGGAAATAATTAGCCTGCTACAGATTCTAGCGCTTTAACTATTTAAAATGCCAGTATCTACTGCTAAATATGTGTTTTTCAGTTTTTCTATCCATTATATGGATTAAAATTTCAATATATTTCAATTTTCTTGGATTTTATGGGACTTGAACTGATTGTTTATATCCAAAAAAATGACTTATATAATAATTTAAGTTTGTATAATAATCATACTTGCAAATAATTGAAAAAAATTATTTTTAAGAGCGAAAAGCTCAAGAGGTATTTTTTAAAAGAAAATTGAATTTCTCCCTTTTCAGTTCGAAGAAAAAAATGCCTCTGCTCAGAAATGCGACGGTAATATAATCTTACTACCAATCGAAAATCATTTATGGTAAAAAGAAAAGTTTGCAAGCATTTATTATTGATTTTGGTGACAATGGCAGATTAGTTTTGTGGTGATGCATCCTTATCTAAAATACGAAATACAGTAAAACCACCGGGAAAGATCACCTCTATTTTCGACCACATTTGGGAGGCATGGAAATTTTTCCATGGATTTTGTGTTGAAGAAAACCTTTAGGAGAGACCATTAAAAACTCTCTCAGAGACAAGGCAAACATCTGCACCAAATGCAGAAAAAGTCAAATAAGGAAACACAAAAAAATATCAAAACAAAAAACTTAACAAAACAAATAAGTAGATTAAAATGTATTCATTCTAATTATGTGGGAGACTGTTATTTACAGAGTACTTTTCGACAATACAACCTTCTGTTCATATATGGCAGTACTTTTACTTTCGCTACTTGTACCGCCGGTACAAGTAGAAGGTACGTACTTTTACTTGTACTTCATTACTTTTTAAATTTAGTACTTTTACTTGTACTTTCGTTACTTTTTTAGAGAAAAAGTACAAGTATTTGTAACGGAAATATCGAATGAAATCGTTACTTTTTTCTAAAACTCGGTAAGCTTTCTAAAAAAAAATTAAATTAAAAAAACTGCTTTTGTTTTTTTTAATTTATAAAATTAATGAACAATATATATGCATTCATAGCTAACTTCGTGTTTAAATACCTTCTGTTTCAACTAATACTGCACATTCAATTATTTTTTACTAGCTCAAAGATCACTAGCTCAAAGCTATCTGAAACCCCGTGTTTGCTTTGTTTATGTTTGTGCTTTTAAAACGCGTTTCTGAAGAGTAAAACAATTTTAAATCAATGGTAATTTAAATAAGTGAAAATAATAAACTAAAAATTAAAATCAATAGATAAAATTTCTTTTTCGTGTAAATCCATAAAAAGTTTGATATTAAAATTATATTTAATTTTAAAATTATATTATAATATTCTTCCGAATTTAAAAATAAATTGATATCCATAACTTTCAAAACTAAAAATAATTAGAAAATAACAAAAATTTCGCAAAAACATTAAAGAACATAAGAATATTATTCAATAAAATTTTAGGTTACTTTGAATTTTCGATTTTCTAGAAATGTACTTTTAAATCGTTACTTTTTTTGTTTAGTACTTGTACTTTTACTCGCTACTTTTTAAAAGTAACGTTGTCATATATGGTTCTCACTGTGAAAATCACCAGTCGTCAACAAAAAAGTGGTCACTTAAATTAAATAAACAACCAGTCGTTTTTTCCGTTTCCTTCGTTAGGGTTCGTATCCCTCCCTCGGCTTCACACCGACCACAGCACTGATGCATACCTGCCAACTTTTAATCTTTTCGAGGATGATTTTCCCCATGGGAAGTAAAATGCAATTTAAATTACAATATTTGGCAGAAATATATGCTATTTTTTGAAGAAGCTTATGCGAACTAGAGCCCCTGAGTTAGACAGGCCGACTTATCATTTATTGTTGGAGCAAAGAGCTAACATAGGCACAGCGAATAAATATTTTCAAGTGGTAGTTTATTAATTGTAATTCTTGGTCTAATAAGTTCGATT